TGCAGAACCAACACAGGGTATTATTTTATTTTCATCACCAGAAGAACCTGGTGTGAAATCATTATAACAATACAAGCCCCTCCGGTCAAATACATCATAATAACAAGCCCTGGGGACACTCCATGGACAGCATCCAGAGGCGCTACCTTTGGAATTGATGCAGAGGCATTTCGGAGACCCTGTCTCTGTTCCCTAAGCTTGCCAACATCACTACTGTTAATAATACAATAATTCAACCTGGCCATCATTTCAGACCATCAAATCTAGCGACAGCAAGCTATGTGACCCAGCAAGAAACCCACATAAACACACAAATACATATCCCCAAAAGGAATTTACCAAGTGAAAATGAAGAGAGCTAGCTTCCCAGAGTTTACCTCTCTCAGTTTGGCCAGAGCCTTCAAGACACAATTAAACAGACACAGGTTAAGCGCCTACTATGCGCAAGGCACTGGGAGACAAAGACAAACAGAAACAGCTCTTGTTTTCAAGGAGCCTACATGTTACTAAGGTGAGAGGACACATGTAAATTAAGTAATTCAAAACTAAGTAACTTTAAGAGGAAGAGAGGGCTGAGGACTGGAGGGAATAAGAAGAGATTATGTAGGAGATGGCACCTGAACTATGAAGAAGCAGAGACAGAGATGAGGCAGGAGAATGAGCAGAGAATCCTAAATTGGAAGCTGAAAGGGATCTCAAAGGCCACCTTGTCCAAACTCCTTATTTGACAGAGGAGGAAATTGAGGCCCATGGAAGTTAAGTGACTCTTCCAAGGTCACACTCTCCTCTGACCCTAAGTGCATTGCTCTGTACCAGTCCAGGCCTGGGGATCGCCTATGCAAAGAATCAAAGAGGATTCAGGCAGAGTGCTGTGTAAGGGAACAGCTGGCAGGCAAGTCTCACTGGATTAGAGGCAGGGTGAAGAAGAGAGAAATGAATGAGGCTGGGAAACTAGGTGGAAGCCAGATTGTTAATTATAAAATGAGACTGGAAGGGCAGGTGGGAGATTTAAATGGCAGGCTGAGGAATCTCTTTTTAATCCTGAAGGCATCCGGGAGCTGTTGAAGGTTTGGGAGGAGGAGAGTGACATGGTCAAACCTATGTCAAAAGGACCATTTTGATCCAATTCAACAGGCATTTATTAAGTGTTTACTGTGTGCAAGGCCCTGAGCTGGGCATGCATCTCTGATTCAAGATGAAATCAATCCATGGGGTCTCTGGATACAGCAAATCAGAGAAATTGTCCCTAGTGATTTCTACTAGCAGATGATCAAGTAATATTTTGCAGCTGTCATTAACCAGCTACCACAACTGACTGCCAGCATCCAGCTGTGTGTACCCTTGCTTTTGTCCCTGTTCCTCAGTTTCCCCAAATGTAAAACAAGGGGTTTGGGTTTGATTAGATCTAAGGTTCCATCCAGCTCTAGCATGGTATGATGACATGATCTGCCTTGTATTATTCCTACTTTCATGGGCCAGAGTGGAATAGTGTACAGAAAGCTGGTTTCAGAAACAGTAAGACCTAGGTTCGAGTCCTATCTCTTACGAACATTGGTTTTGTGACCCTGAGCAAATCACTCTCAGTGCTCTAGGCTACACTCTAAGGCTATATGTTCAATTCAATTCAATGAACATCTATGAGGCACCTACTATATACTATGCACAGTGCTAAGCACTATGAAAAAGACAGATAATTCTTGCCTTCAAGGAACTTACAATCTAAAGGGGGAACACAACACACAAAAAGAATATGTATGATGTGGAGAAGGCACAGACCTGCACTAGTAGAAGATGCTTCCTCACTTGGGAGTTCCGGGGAACCTATAGGGCCTCGAGACCACATGTAGCCTGAATCAGGGATTTGTTCTATGAAGTTTGGGTTCAGTCAAAGGGCTGAACTTGAGGACCTAGAGGGCTACATGTGGCCTCGAGGCCACAGGTTCCCCGTCCCTGCCCTAATCCAATGAAATCACAGCTCTAGTACTTATTCTTCTTGAGTGTGAACCCATTGCTACAATGCTAATAAGAGCAGCTAAAAAGTCATTATAGCACATTAGAGAATCAGTCAGTCAATAGGCATTTATGGAGAACCTTTTATGTGCCAGGCACTATGCTAAACTATGGATACAAAGAAAGGCAAAAAGAGTCTTTATTTTGAAGGAGCTCAGTCTAATAATGGGCTTTAGGCTTTGCAAAGTGCTTGACACACATGATCTCATTTGAGCCTCACAAACACCCGCAGCTGTCCTTATGCCCATCTTACAAATGAGGGAGACTGAGGCTCAGAGGAGTTTAGGAACTTGCTAGCTCATAGCCACACAGCTGGTAAGCATCAGAAGGGGAGGGGAGTGAGGTAGGAAGTCTTCCTGACTCCAAATCCAGCATCCATCCAGCTATGCAGGAACTCACAGCCTAGCTAGGGAGCCCAAACTAGGAAATCATATGAACTGCTATGAAAGGAAGCCAGGCAGGACAGAATCAGGGACTAGAGAGAGTGGGTGGTTCAGCCTCTTAGGAATTCAGAGAAGGGAGAAGGGGAGAATTGCAAAGTTGGAAAGGACCTCAGATCACCTAGTCCATCCTCCCACTCCTCAAGTCCATACTCCCACTCCTTTATGTCATTGGTGACAGAGAGTTATGTAGCCTCTGGTGGAAAACTTGTAGTAGCCTGGAGCAACAGACAGTTCTTTTTTTCCTTTTCAAGGCAACCATTCCAGTACTGGACAGCTCCCATTATTGGCCTGGCCTTCGAATACAAAGTGAGCTAGAGTGTGCTTCCTTCTAAATTCTCCCTCTGGTACTAGTTCTGCCCTCAAGGCTGCCAGAACAACATCTAACCTCCACTTCTATGAGAGGGCCTTCAAATATTTGAAGGCAGGCATTGTGTTCTTCCTCGGTTTGCTTTTTTCTGGGATGAATAATCTCAGTTCCCTCAACAGTTTGTACAAATCATGGGCAAGCACAGAAGGCTTCCTTGAAGAAGTGGAACCTAGGTGAAGCACTGAAGGATGGTTAAGATTGGCTTCTCCTTGACAAAAATGGTAGTTCTACAAATCACAGGGAGGGGAAAAGGGTAGGAGCTGGAGAGGGAAACTTCACCAAGCTTTCTCCAACCAATTAAAGCTTTCAGGACTCAGAAAGGCTAAGGTTCCAGTGAGGATGAGGAAGGGTGGAGGGGCATTTCTAGAGACTCAGGATGGAAAGGGGTTAATTATGTGCCAAGGTCAAACACCAAACATTAATTGATAAAGAAATGAACATTAAATCATATGGAAAATTTAAGAATATTTTAGAAAAGTACTGTAAGAAGCAATGAGAGAGCCCTATAATAGACCAGATATTTTTTATAGAATCATGAAACTTTACTGTTGCAAGGAACAGCAGAGCCCATCTAGAACAATCTCCCTCCCTACAACAAACACATACCCATTTTAAACTAAAGGAAACCAAGGCCTAGGGAGCTTAAATGGTTTGCTGGAGGTTCTGATTACAGATCTCTTCAGTCCAAGTTAGGAAAGAGCCCTTTCCACTACTGGGGTAAACTGGGTGATTCTTACAATGGCCTAATGTGAGCTGCCTGTTGGTTGCCCAAAATCACCCTCCCTCCACTCCTCCTCTCTGTAACTCAGCACAGACTCCTGCTGCCTGCATCCTCCTGCGTCAGAGACTTAAATAGGGTGGGAGGAAACTGAGGCAGGCAAAAGTGACCCAGGCAGCTTTCCTCCCACCACTGCCACCACCACTTTCTAGAAGATGAATTAGTCAGCTTTCCACCCACTATATCATGACTGATACCATCAGCTCCTTAAACCCAAGCTTGCTGCTCAGAGGGTACAAGCAGACCAGGGCAGCCCTGCCATCCTGAGCTCCCCCAGGGTCCACCTCCTACAGGTCTCTGCCTCTATGATGTCTGTAGCCTTAATACACCTAGCTGGTTCCTGAAGGCTACTAGGTTGTTGGAGTTCTAACTGTGATCTTAAATGTGGCTTTTATTGAGATTTATTCCTTCCTCCTGGGTTACTCTTTCTGGGGGTTGGAATACACAGGAATAAGTAAGCCTTTGTCATTGCCACCTCAAACCTGACTCACCCCTGTGAGTGATGCTGGGCCCCCTAAAGTGCTAGTTTTCGGGCCAGACAATACAATGAGGGTCTAGCTGTCCCAATCTGCTGCCCAACTGTCCTAGGACACTATGTTTTTGAAAGCTTCCCTCCTGCATACCTCTAAAATCGACTATCTCCCTCTCCCTAGTCTGAAGTGCTAAGTAGCCTCTTACCTCAGACCAGATCTTTTTCCAATCCGAGCCAGGAGAAGCAAGGACCTGCTCAAGGAAATGCCTACACTTTGGGGGCTGGGAGTGGAACTACTCCCACCCCTACCCCTGGCCCTCTGGCCTTCCTTGAAGCTTGGTTACAACTCCACGGCCCTAGCCTCCGTCCCCTGCACTGCCCACCAGGGCCCAAAGGCAAGAGTTGGAATCTAGAATGTCAGCCTAACTCAGCTCCCAAGGTCCAGGCCCGTTCCTCCCTCACCGGCTGCCCCATTGTCCACCTAGCCCTGCAGGCAGGGTGAGGAGGGGGCGGGGTTCCCACTCCTCATCTTCCCTCCCCATCCCCAGGAAGTCGATTCTGCCTTCCAGTCGTTCAGCCAGGGTGGCCCTGTAAGACAGGCATCCGCACAAAGGAGGGCTAGGGGGTTTGTGACACTCGGGAGACATACAGACACAGGGAGCCCCGCACAGA